CTGAGTAATCCTCGTTCGGAAGTACTTAACTTTCTGGTTAGACAAAGGTACAAACCAAAACCTTGGAAACAATATTCACCTTTTTTTTTTTTTTTTTTTGTATGCAATATTTTAGGATTATAAAAAAAAATGCCTTTAATTAACTCCATGTGACGACCCAACCCGTCGTCTTATGTATTACAGCCCCGTTTCCCCCATTTATTGCTCTTTCATGTTTCATTATCAGCAACGGGTGAGTTAGAGTTGAATTGAATTGGTTTGGATAGGAAATGAGACACTTAGTCCCTTTAAGGAAGGTTTGGGTTGGAAAAGTCAACCGAACGTTGACTTATTAGTTAGAGGGCTCGGATGTAAATTCCGGTGATTCGGTTAGCTTCGGGAGGTGATTTGTGACTTAGGAGTGCGATCGTAAGTGATTTTGGAGGTCCGGAGTGGAATTAGACTTGAATTGGCAAAGTTGGCATTTTGGCGAATTCCGGTGGATAGGTGAGATTTTGATCCGAGGGTCGGAATGGAATTCCGACAGTTGCAGTAGCTCCGTTAGGTGATTTTGGATATGTGTGCAAAATTTCAGGTCATTCGGAGGTGTTTTGGTTAGGTTTCTGATCGAATCGTAATTTAAGGATGAGAACAAGTTTGAATGAGGTTTTAGGATGTATTGGCATTTTTGGTTGAGGTCCCGGGGGCCTCGGGGTGAATTCGGGTGGTTGAACGAGAGGTTTTGAGGTGTGTTGCAGGTCTGTTGCTGCTGTCATCTGGTATTTCCGCTTCTGCGGAAATGGACCGCAGAAGCGGTTCCGCAGAAGCGGGTGAGCGATCGCAGAAGCGGCCAGGTGTGGGTTAGGGTAGATCCGCATAAGCGGAAATTGGTCGCTTCAGCGGGTCCCGCATAAAGCGGACATTGTACCGCAGAACGGTTGAGGGAACCGCAGAAGCGGAGTTCGAGTCGCATAAGCGAAAGCCCGGTTTTTAAGTGAAGACCGCATAAGCGATTTTTGGCCGCAAAGCGTCCCTCATAAGCGAAAGCGGGACCGCATAAGCGAAAATCGCTGTGGACAGAAAGGTTTAAATATTATATTTCATCGCGAACAAAGAGGTAGTTTCCACCATTTTTAAGCGACTTGGAAGAGCTTTGGGCGAGGATTTTCGAAGGGTTTTGATGAGAACAATTGGAGGTAAGTCTCTTGGCCTAATTAATTCGATTTCATGGTAGAAATTATATGTAAATTGTGGAAAATTCATCAAAAACGGGTCAAGTTAGGGCTTGGAAAGCTGTGATGTAAAAAATGGATTTTGAAAGGATTTTGAACTCCGGATTTTGGTAAAATTGGTATGTTAGACTCCGTGGCAGACGAGGAAATCCAGTGATGTAAATTTCGTAATTTTTCGAGAAGTAGGCCTGGCTCGGGTTTTGTCAACTTCGTGAATTTTGGTATTTTTCGAGTCTTTTCGATTGGGTTATGTTTCGTTTAGCCTATTGTAATGTATTCGTTGTGGTTTTAATCAGATCGGCGTGCGAAGAGGTTGATTCGAAAGGCAAAGGCATAGGAGCTAGACTTGTGGCCGGCTTGAGGTGAGTAATAGATGTAAGATGATGACCTGAGGTTTGAAACCCCGTATATCACATTGTGACGCTATATTGAAGCGAAGACACGTACTCTATGACGAGTGCGGGGTCGATTGTGACTGGGAATTTTGACCTAGTCCGTTTCGATTGAATGTTCGTACCGTGTTCCTTGGCTAGAAAATTATTTGGTAATCATCCTACTGGATTTTATGAATATGTTTGGGCTTTGTGCCTATCATTTGCATCCTCCAGGATCCTTATCACTACTTCCATGATGTTTTAGCATATTTCATGATATCAGTCCTGAATTAGACACTGTCTCGAAATGTTTAATAAAAAATAAAGGTTTAAACACTTAGCTCTATAATTCCTAAAGTTGAGACCAAAAATGAATAATCTGACTGTGCCCGAGTGGCTTGCATGCATATTATATATATATATATATATCTGGGCTGAGTGTAGATCGGGTTTGCACGCCGCAGCGAATTGACAATGATATTGCGCTTGGGCTGTGGGAGCCCCTTCGAGTCTGAACCCCACAGTGAGCGCGAGTACCCCAAATGGATCGGCTGCGCGCCGCAGTGGTCATGTGCACTTGCATTGCATCAGCATTTTATATCTGTTGGTCTTAATTGTCATTTGTCTGCTGTTGTTCCATTCGTTTAAACGTGGAATCGTTGATTATAGAATTTATATTGTAATAATTTCGGGATTTCTTAGTTTTCAGCAATTATAATATATTTATTACTCACTGAGTTGAAGTACTCACTTTACTCCCTGCACCATGTGTGCAGATTCAGTGCTCCGGAGACTTAGTGGAGCTGTTTGCTGTTTTTTTCGTGAAGTTATTTTTAGGAGTTGTTGAAGTAGTTGCCTAAGGTCCGCAGGACCCCGACTCCTCCCCTTTATTCATTTGTCTTTCCATATACTAGACTTTTTTTTACTTAATATGATATATTACTCTGTTACATCTAGAGGCTCTAGACTCGTGACTCCAGTTCTACTTGGGAATGTTGGGAATATTCATTATTATTTTCCATACTATTTTATTTAGTTTTTGGAATCGAACCTTGAATATTTGCTATTTTAATCGTATTATTTGTTAGCGGATGCGTATTTGGGTTGAGAGTATTTAAATTGGTCCGGCTTGCTCCTGGCATTAGTGTTGGGCGCCATCACGATCGGGATTGGGTCGTGACAAGTTGGTATCAAGAGCCTAAGGTTACTAGGCCTCGCGAATCATGAGCCGGTTTTAGTAAGAGTCTCCGGAACGGTAACGGGAACGCCTGTACTTCTCCTCGAGAGGCTGCAGAACCTTTAGGAAAACTCCATATTCCT